GTTGATTGACATTTTGTAACCTGTTCATTGAGAGGGATCTATGTTGATAGATCTTCACTCTTACTGAGAACGCGCTTTGTGAAAAGTTTCGGAAACTGCTGAAACATTTTGTGCTGACAGTCCTTTAAGTGAAAAACACACTTTTAAGATGAGTGGTGGTTTTTCACTTCCAGAGTTAAGCCACCTGAGGAAAAAGAATCAAGAATGGAAAAACATGAAAAACAAAATAAAACATTGCAGTTCACCCAAATAAAAGTATTTCTAAAACCAGTAGCTTGCGAAGTATTATACTTGACGTTTCATTCTGACTTGAGATGAGTATTTTTTGAGCTGAAGAGTTTTTCCCGAGACAGAAACAATTTTCCTTTCTACCCTATCCAGAGGGACCAGTCAGAAAGAACACTCTGTTTTCTATTACTATTTCTGTCCCTAAGCTGTTTTCTTTCCACATTTCTTCTTTCCTCTTATTTCCTCTTTTTCATTTTCACTTTCCTTCCTTTTCTTTCTTAAAATGCCCTATCTATTGCAAAACAGAAGAGACCTGAGCCTGGAACCAAGATTCTTTGCTCTTGCTCTCTCCTCTTTTCCTCTGTTTATTCAGGAGGAGTACGAAAAGAGCTATATTAAGCTGAAATTTTATTCTGCTGTCCTCTGTTCAACAAAAGATAGTCCACTAAAGCCACTAAATCACAGATAACACTTCTCTGGGCAACATTATTAGGAACTGACAGCTGGTGATGGATGAAGATCTCATCTTTTAAAGAAAAAAGTACATTTAATTTCCTTTGTACATAACAGAGAGAGCACAGTATTGTGTATCTAAAGATAAAAAGAGATCCAGTGTATGCTGGGTGCCATACTTAAGGGGATATAATACTGGGTCTGTGTTTCTGAGCCTACATTTTACAGGCCATCTTTAAATTAATTTAGGAACTGCTATTCTTCAATTCTTGGTAGACAATGAACTTTAAAAAAAAAAACAGAGCAACATTTCACAGCCAGCTCCATTAGGAAAGAGCAGCTCAGGGACTGAGGTGTTACTTTTGAGGAGGAAAACTGGAAGACAGGACAGAAAGAGGAGGGAGAATGGATTTGTAGGGCTGAGAGATGGGTTTACCCCAATCCCGCCCAGGATTAAGCTGTACTCCTGGGAGCCGCTGGGCCTCCTGGAGGTTGACACCATAATGGATTTGGTACTGAACGTGCACAATGGAGTTGATATTGAACATCAAGGATCTCATTGACTACCTTGAAACAGACATGCTAAATAAGTATGGTCATTTTTTCCATCAACTGAAGCATATGAAGCCGGACTCCAAGTATGCTGGGTGAAAGTGCATAAATTTCTTCTATGGAGGCACTGGCAATACACAGTACTACCTTATTTCTCCTTTACAGATTATTTTTTTCTTTCTTTCTCTCTCAAATGATCTGTGACTGTGACACATATACTACTTTTCTTTTCACATTTGTAATGTATAACCGTATTTTTATGTCCTTTCTGCAGCACTACCAGCTGCTGCTTTAGTTGAATTTAATTTTAACACACCTCCTGAGCAGCACAGAGACGGTGAGGGTGAAACTTTAATAGCCTGTCTGTGTTAAGCAAGACAGTTAAACATGCAGTTAAAGCACATGTTCAACAAGAAAATATGGTCGGTCTGATGCCAGTGGTATGAAAGACTGCTTTGGGCTCCTGGGGTGAGGACAAGTTTAAGAAAAACATTTGCATGAAGTTTCTAAGTCTAGAGACTATTTGTGTGTTGGCTGAGCCTGGCTGCAAGTCCTTGTAGGAACAGAAGGCCTAACAGTGAGCAATTACCTTCCTTTGATTAAAACCTTCTAGTCAGCTAGTCTAAAATAGAGTGGAAATTTTTTTGTGAACCTTACTCCACTGAAAGATGAGAAGAGGCTTTCCACTAACAAAAAGCAGCCTTTCTAACCATAAAAGTTTATGGAAAATTCTTTGACCATCTTCGTGTAAAAACAGTTATTCTGCTTTCCCTAAGATTTCAGATCATTCCCTTCTTTTCTCCGCTTCTTTATTCTTATTTTTTCCCAGTTGACATAAAGTAGTTAGTAGCAAAGGATAATATTAGGCTTTCCCATTTCTTGCAGAAAGAAAAACCTCTGGAAAATACAAGATACAAAAATGAAACTTGCCCTGGACTTGTGCTGGAAATTCAAACATAGCAACTCAGAGCAAATGCAAGATCATCAAGAAGCACAAGGGTCTATGTAGTTATTTCAGAAGGTGAAACCTGCTGTTTTAAGTTTCACCTATACACATGCACATACAGTTAAACAGAAAGTGTCCATGTAAAACATCCAATGAACAGTGATATTTAAATCACTTCAAGTTGCTGCTTCTCTGTGAAGAAATGGATTTCTCCCTCTCCTTTTTGGGATTGGTCCCCAGTTGATGATGGGGTACGTTTAAGTTGTTTTTCAGAAGTTTCTGCATTCTATATTCTGGTCTAAAAGTCCCATCGCTCATCTCATTATGCCATAACCTACCTTTTTTTGGTAGCTGGAGCCATTTTCAAGGCCTTGGAGGATCACTATTGGCAAGATTGTTCTCTGCATCTTGATTCTAAAAGTTTCAACACCCAGCTGCTCATCAAGATGTATTTAGGAGCCTTGAAATTCAACTGCTAAGCTATTGCGCAGGCTTTGAAACCTTTTTTGGATCACAGCAGCTACAGCTTTCACTAAGCCTTTCCTTCATCTGTTACAGCTGAACTAAGATATTGAGCATTTTCTCTTTTGGGTCATCCATGAGTCTGTAAATTCAAAATGCTATAGGAGAAACACGCTCAATAAGCAGGATCCACAGGGCTGATCTCATACAAAGATCTGGTTAGCATTTGGGGCCACAGACAGCTGCCCCTGGGAACCAGCCAGCCAAATACCCACAGGTGCTACACTGAGCTCTCCCTATTCCTGGAGATGGGTGCCCCAGATTCCCTTCACTTCTATGTCCTACTGCTTTTCTTGTTATGGAAGATCCCAGAGACCAACCTTGCCACAGTTTCTTTGAGAGATAAACACTTCCTCTTTTATTGTCAAAACAGGGATTTTGAAACTGCTTTTTCAGTTCACATACACACAGACACTGAGCAAGACTTCCTTCTATTATTTCTAGTTTCAGCAACACTGACTAGAAGATCTGGCTTCTTCAGTTCTCTCTTTTACCCCTTTAATACTTCATACCTCTCACTAAAGCCTTGTTTTCATTCCCCTCAGACTGCTATATGCGAGTTACCAAAGAGGACGCAAAAATGTCAATCAGTGTCTCAGACTGACAATTGCATTTAATTACCTCTGACCTCCTCCCAGCCACAGATGTTTAGAATAACAATTCAGTAATTCAACAAAGTTGTCTTAGAGATAACCAGAAGTGCTACAACATGGCTTTCAAACGGATAGTTCAAATAAGCAGACAAACTAAGCACAAATCCTGAACCAATTGAAGTTTGCCTCTTTTGCTAGCATTACGAACTATAATTCTTGACATTTCTGGAGTGCCTTCTACTTTAGGCTGCACGACAACTTATGAGACTTTAATTGACTCTCAACACGCCTTTCAAAAGTATTATTTCCAATTCACTGGCTAAGAAAAGCACAGCATAAAACATGAAGTCATTGTCCAAGTGTATGGCAATAAAGAGAAATTGCTGAAATAGCTCTCCCCATTTTATGAAAAGTACAGCTTCTGCACCTGCCAAAAGTTATTGTTGGTTGTGTTTTTTTTAATTCATAAATGAGTCAACAGCATTAAAAAAAAACAGGTGAATATTTTTTTATCAATAGATACGGGTCTCTAAAAAGGAAGTTGAAGAGAAGGGCAAATTGGAAAGTTTCTGATGGTCTTCGCAACTCTAGTAGAAGAAAACATGCACAAAACATGGCTAAGATATTTCATGTAATGCTTTACGAATTGCTTTACAACTCTTGAAAAATCAATGTTGATTCTTCTTCCTGAGAGGAAGACTGGACCTTGTGACTGAGAGACTGAAGAAAATTAAGTGCTGAGGGAAGACTTACATCAGGACAAGGCAGCTATCCTAAAAAAGTGTCCAAAAGGACATTTAGATTGCATTTGACATGTCTTCAAGAGAGGAATAAGACCACACCTCTCCCAAAGACAATTCCAAAAGGATTTACATATAGGTGTCACTGAATGCTGTGAAACTAGAATCTACTGTTAATCCGTGCTCTACTACTCCATTCCTCTGAAGAGGAGTTTTACAAGTCTGTTGTAACACCTTATCAAAAGCTTAATTTCATTTGAAAAATTGTCTAGATGCTTCTTTATTGAACTGTCTCAGCAGAAGGGTCCTGAATGTTAGCACGGTTTCTTCTCACAGCAAACATTTAGCACAAAGACAAGTACAAAAAGACAAGCATTTCAGAATTATTCATCAAAAGATAAAAAAATTCTGTGCACATGCACAAATACACATGTAATCATACATGTAAGATGAGCTTTGCTACTATATAGTGGCTCAAGCAGATTCTGCTACAATACTTGCTTACAGAGAAACTGCACAGCTCTTAGTGAGGAAGAATTCTTCCAACTGAAACTGCAAAGTTCCAGTCCAAAAGTCCTGCCTGTGCAAAGGTATCAACAAACTAATCACAACAATCTAACTACAGCTAAATAAATGTTATTTGACCAATTACCAGCTGACACTCTGTACATGCCTCTGTACAGTCAAGTTCCTAGAAATGAAACAGAAGAATATTATTTAGCCAAAAATGGACTCGCTGTTCCAAACAGCTCATATGCATGTGGAGTCCCTTCCAAGCTTAAGAGTCTGAAGTCATGCAGGCGCTCCCTGAAGCAGCATTTACCTGGTCACACACATCTAGATGACAGCACTGTTGTTCTCATTAGGACGACAACTTCTGGTACTGACAAGTGACTCCTGAAATGTTATTCCTTGCTGAATCATCTCAGTTTTCAATGATAGGGATTGAAAAACAATGGGATATTCTCAGTAGAATAATCAGCTATTTTTTAATTGAGAATTCGTATATACAGCCTGTGGAACTCTGTGCAAATGGATGCAAACAAAGAGCAAACATAATACAGTGTCTTTTGGATTGATCTCACAGTTCCTTATATATACACCAGCATAAATTGCTCAGTGCAATTTCCCCCTCCCATGTCTGACCCTGACACTAGTTTAAAAAATAAGACAGTCCAGCCTGAGACTTTTTTTTTAGATGCACTAAAGTAGGCTTGCTCAATCACTCTGTCTTGAGACGGAGAGCCTCTCGCCGTTGCTTCTGAACAGTTCTAGAATCTTCCCATAGACGGGGTCCTCTGATGTTGTCCCAGTTATCCAAGTCAGACTTTTCCAGCTTCTGCAGATAAACAGCAAAAATAACAGTGTCATCTTTACAACCCCATGATTTAAAGTACGTATTATTCTAAACTGTTTTCTTTTTGCACAAGAAACTCAGTATCACTATCGGGTTGATGAGCTTTCATCTACCCTGCAACAGAAGTTCAACAACAAGGTAAAAAAAAGTTGCGAGTTATCCATATAGCTACATAAATGACTAGGATGGGCATTACTGCACCTGCTTATCAACAGATATATAACATGTAAGGACAGGAAGCGCTATAGCATCTGAACATGACTGAAGATACCTTGTATTGACTTTTTCTTTCTTGTCTCATCTTGTTTTCCAGATCTGTTCTTCAACGGCAAGTCTGCCAAGTACTGAAGTAATAGGACTGATAAGCATTGGTATAGCTCAAACAGAAGATTAGTAATTAGTGGCCTGAAGTATCCTGTCAGCACAAATACAAAGCATACTGGAAAAGATGAATTATCTAGCACAAAGGGAGACAGTAACAGTGCAACCCCCTTCAATCCATGTGGTTTTAATTTGAATAAGGTATACGATGCTTTCTGCTGCCTAGTTTCTCATGGCACCCAGCCATCACAGATAGGTCTCTCATTAAGTCATATATGAGATATTCTGACTGAACTGTCAGATACTTAAAAACTATCCAGATTTTAATTACTTCCTTGCCTATTCCTATCATCCCCACTCAGAAGTACCAATGACTGCAATATTTATCTAGCCTTAGAGGTGCACAAAAATGAAGACCAGGTGCCCTCCTGACCTCACCTGCCAAGTGCTGCAGTTGAAGAACACAAACACATACTGCATCTTCACAGTCCTACCGGCAGAGACATGGAAGTCCCTTGCCAGCAGACACAGACCTCAAGTCTCACATATCAGCCTGTGGAACAGTACATGACAGGTCTCTGCCAACAGGAGATTGAGGAGGCGGTCTGCACCACTGCCAGAAACAGGGCTGTTCTACATGCTACTGAACAGGGCAATACTGCACACCATTAATGATAAATACTGCAGGGGGATTTAAACCTCTGATTTGTGATCAGGGTCTCATCTCAGCAAATGCTCTAAAAATACACCAGAAAATACTTAACCCTGCCTGGAGCCTGTGGTCTAATTTGCCTACTGTCAATCATCCAAGTAAATGGCAAACACAAAGGGACTTGAATAATAGTCGCAGAATAATTCAACAGCTATAACAGAATAGACCTGCTGCTATTAGTTCACATTATGTAAAAGTTTTCTGCCACTTCTACAATTGAGGAAATTGCAATGAGGTTAGTCAGATATCAAAAGAAATTAGGCAACATTCAACAGAAGATATATGAGAAGACATGCACAAACAGCAGACTTTCACAAGGTGGGGGCAACTGAATTTTTCATACAGTAGAGTTGGCATAGGTCGTTCTGAAAAATTGTCTTTACTACTTTATACATCTTATGATTAGCTGGTACTTCATTTCAACTGGAAGGGATCTGAGCTGACATGGAAAGAGGGAGAAGGAGGGAGAAGGAGAGAAGGTACCCATCATCCCCCACAGCAGCAACTATCCACTCTGATTGTAAATTCAGAATTTAACATCTTATTCTAATGGAAGCTTCAAGGAAACTACACTGAAAATAACCTTGTGCTTTAACAGAAGGGAAGCATGCTGATTTTATTAAACACAAAGGTACCACACAGCTATGAGGATCTAAACTATTCCCAAAGGTTCTCAGCTCCCAAAGTCTGAACAAGAATCAACATTTCAAATATATACAATGAAACTTGTAGTATCTAAAGATAGGCTACATAAAGAAGTCTATCAAGAGAGACATACACACTGGAGAACTTTACCAAAGTTCATATTAACCTGCCCCTGAAACTTCACAAAGGCTTTTCATAGAGGAAGTTCATCCAAAACAGGAAATATTGCAAAACTATACAATCTAAACAAACCAGTACAAGAGAGTACTTTGGCAGTTTCCATTGGAAAGCATAAAGGTACCTGGAAAACACACTGTGATATACTGACAGAGTAAAACAACCAAGGGTTATGTACAGTGAACGGCATTAGCTCAAACTACAGATGAGATCTATTGACAGAGTTAATTTTTGTCAATTAAAATATAAAGAATTAAAGACTCTAATGAGTACATAGAGAGACTGTATTTTTATTTTTTATTCTCATTATTTTTATAAAGATCATTAACATTTTGTGTCCTGTATAGAGACTGTTTTTGATACCTTGCTGCAATTCAAGAAGAAAGCACCTTCCTTACTGGCACATGACAGTATCCGCAAAAGTTAGTACTTTATGGGACACATATCTGTCCAGTCATCAGAAGGTAGCATGATTAGACAATCCAATTTTTGACACTGATGCTATCAAGTTTTGAAAGAATAGAGGACTCCTGTTGCACGTTGATAAAGATAAGGAGTACCACCAGTGAAAGGGGATCTGAAAATCTCCATTCTGCAATGTGTTCCTGCTCTACAGCTATTTTCACAGGTATCTACCTGTGCTGGTTTTGGCTGGGATAGAGTTAATTTTCTTCACAGTAGCTGGTATGAGGTTATGTTTTGGATTTGTGCTGGAAACAGTGTTGATAATTCAGGGATGTTTTCATTACTGCTGAGCAGGGCTTACACAGAGTCAATGCTTCCTCTGCTCCTCACTCCACCAGCGAGGAAGCTGGGGGTGCACAAGGAGTGGGGAGGGGACACAGTTGGGACAGCTGATCCCAACTGACTCAAGGGATATTCCATACCATGTGACATCATGCTCAGCATATACAGCTCGGGGAAGAAGGAAGGAGGAGGGGGGGTGTTCAGAGTGATGGCGTTTGTCTTCCCAAGTAACTGTTACATGTGATGGTGATATCCAGTATAAAATGGAATTTTCCACTAAGAATGGTGAGCTATTGAACATCTGATGACTGGAGGAGCATGCCACTGAGGAATGCAGAATACGATAAAGAAGAACCAAAACAATAAGAGAAGAAGAGACTGATCTCCAAACTGGTCTCTGATGGCTGGGGTCCACAAACTTATGAAATTGCATCCTTTAGATGAACATAGCTCATTATAATCTCATTATAATGCTAAAACCCACACCCCTAGAAGGAGATTTTAGATGTAAATTTAGGACCACCTTAGTATAATGAAGTAATTAGGTAATGAGACATGCGCAGATGATTTGTTGTCGAATGCAATCATAAGTAACCAAAAAGTTGCTTTTGGGTAGTCCCTTCTTTGTTTCTGTCTTGTATAAAAGATGCCGCACGACTTTCAAGGGTGTGCTAGCTTTGTGGGACTACCACCTAGCACCCATCTCTGCACAGACATGGAATAAAATAGCTCTTCTCTGTGTGTATATTGGCGTATTGCACACTGGGTGAACAAACCCCACTTTTGGGACAACAATGGAGCCCTGCTTTCCTGGAGATGGCTAAACACCTGCCCGCCGATGGCAAGTGGTGAATAATTTTCTTGTTTTGCTTTGCTTGTGTGTTTGACTTTTGCTTTACCTATTAAGCTGTCTTTACCTCAACCCATGAGTTTTCTCATTTTCACTCTTCCAATTCTCTCCCCCATCCCACTGGGGGTGAGTGGACGAGCGGCTGGGTGGGGTTAAACCACGACACTATCTCACATACAACTAAACAAAACTTTTTGCTTGGTCACTGACATGAAAATTCTTACAACACTATCACCCCAGAACAAATGGCTACATTAGATGTAGGCCAAAGACACATATGTAGCTACAATTAACCTTACTGCTGAGAGTAAGACCAAACTGATGGTCCTTCTATTGATTAGGTGCAGCACAAGCTGCAAAGTTACACAGCTTCAGATTGCCTGGGCTGTGCAGTGAGAAATTAGGCAAGCAGCTAGTTCTCCTCTCAGATGAAGTCAACGTCTTTCATTCTAACTGGCTGGGTCTTTTTAATTTCTTGTTTTATTTCTTCTTTCTTTTTAGCCGCCTGGACTCTGCCCACCTAACTTCATGGAGACGTCACATAAAGGTGGTCAAACTACTTCCAGCCTTTACCAAGTTCAAAGCTGTAAGAACTGGCAGTCTAAAAATCAAAAAGCTTTTTCTCCCAATTCAAATGCAGTAAAGAGTCAATCATTGGAGACTAAAATGAAATGTAATCAGATCAGACCAGCACCACTTTTCCTGCTTGTCTCAAATAGCCCGAAGGATGTTGAAAATTAGCTGTTTAAAGTAAGATCAGTGTAGTCCATTAAATCTACTGATTCACTTCCTAAATCAGCTAAACTGCCTCTTAAAAGTATGGGACTGACAGAAGCTGTAAATCCAAGAAAAAAATGCAGCTACGCAGACAGGCACAGCGAACAACAAAAAAAAAAATGTTCAACCATTTGCCACACACTTGACTTTTAAGACTTTTGTTAAACAGCTTGCCTTGTGCAAAGTTACCAATAAGGATGTAAAGAGATGTCCACTTCTTAATTGCTGGTTCAAATGCCTGGCTTGATACTAAGTAAAAGCCATAATCCTCGGTCAGCCCTAAAACGAAATAAAATTTTTAAAAGTCCGAATTCTACTCTTGCAGGATAGTCTTCATGCCCCACTAAACTGAAACCTGCAGAAATTCATTTAGAGCTATTGGTGCTCAGGCTGAGTTAATCCAAGGTGGTCCCTTGCAAAAAATGTTTGGTTTTAGTCTCTGTTTCCCACATGTGAAAGGAGGGATAAGAAAATCCTGTTTACTTTACAGCTTGATGCAATAAATTTTGTGATAAGCACCACAGAAAGAAATTACTCTAATTCAGAGAGGCAATTATTTCCCATCATTATAGTAAGCAAACCCATTTGCAGATAAAAGATGAGCCAGGGAAGAATATCCTCATGGTTGAAACGTGCAGTGAAAGAAATGCATTAAAGCAGTTTTGGTTTTGCAAGAGCGTCAAAACAGCCTGAAGACCATAAAAGATCTATCAAGGAACTCTACGATGACGTATAGATGCAGAGGGACAGAAT